TCAATTTTCTCTGGTTTGAACCCAGAGTAATTCTCCGCACGTAACGAGGCAAATTTCTCTGGTTTGGAGAGAATTTCTCTGAGAAGTTCAAAGAGAATTCTCTAGATCAAATTTTCTCTGAATTTATTTGAGGGATCTTAGACATTATGATCGATTTGTGTATTGCACATCGTGATTGGGAAGACACAACAATTTGTAAACAAAGCCAGAAGAATTTCAATTTTCTCTGGTTTGAACCCAGAGTAATTCTCCGCACGTAACGAGGCAAATTTCTCTGGTTTGGAGAGAATTTCTCTGAGAAGTTCAAAGAGAATTCTCTAGATCAAATTTTCTCTGAATTTATTTGAGGGATCTTAGACATTATGAAAATATTAAATATCCTTTATGCTATAAAATCTTAATGCTAGGGATCCTAAAAAAAAATCCTCTAAATAAATACATATAATTCACTTATGTAAAAGGATGAGAATACAGAACTTACGTTATATTGAGATTATTAAATGTTAAATTTTTAATTGCTTCTGATTATAATTAAGGTATATAATTATCACCGTCGTTATTATTCTATTATCTCTATTATCGCCACTACCATTGTTACTATTCCTCCACCTTACACCATCGATATCACGACTACTATTTTTACCACCAGTATCATTAGTCTACCTTATTATTACTATTATCACCACACAATCACATATATAGTAGTTGTTATTGCCGCCACCATCACAACATTTGCCACATCATTATCACTCTCTTTGCCATTATCACCACAATTACTTCCACCCTACCACCACTATCATCAAACTCTGCAAGTACTATTCAATTTTCAATATATAAGCTTTCAGTTTTTATTTTAATTAAATGTCACTAAATCCTCCAAATGGGTTTTAATATTTTTTTTGATCATATTGATTTCCAAAGGTATGAGAGTTGTTCTTAATACGAACTCATCAATTAAGGATCAGTTGATCAAATGGTATCGAGTGATAAAAAAATCTCAGCAAAAATTATTAGATATTCTTGGCTATTTGAGACACCATAATACACAATTAGTAAATTATTTTTTATTTCTTAATTACTTAATTAAATTATTTCAAACATTAAAAATTTTTGTTGAACAATCATCAAATCTCAAAAAAGAAAAAAAAATTACAACATAGAAAAAACGCTTTCACCATAAAAGCATCTCCAATGGAGCTGCTATTTTACTTGCCAAAGCTAAAAAATGTCAGGAATGGCAAAAACATGTCTCCAATGGTCTGCTATTTCACTTGCCAAAGATGGCAGATGCCATATGTGTTTTCAAATATGGCAAGTGAAATAGCAGCTCCCAAGCTTGCCAGATCAGCAAAAATGAACAACAATTTGGCACCAAATTCAGTTGAAAACAACAGAATTTAAACAGTAAGGAACCCACTTTTCAAAATCAAACCCAATTTTCAGAATCAAACAAATTTCAGAATGAAATTGAGACAAATCCAAATTCAGTTTCACAATTTTTTTTTTTAAATTCATTTATCACCAAATCTCAGTCAATCCAAATCAGATGGTATGCATTCACAATAAACCAAACGAAATCAGATCCAGTTTGAGTTGTTTGCAGATCCAGTATAAAGACAGATATAAAAAATTGAAGACAGATATCAAACGAAATCAGATGGTATGAAGACAAATATAAAAAATTGATGGATGAATAAAAATTGATAAAAAAAAAATAATTAAGAAAATTTGAAAAAAAAAATACCAAATTTGAGTTGTTTGCAAATCCGGTTTGAATCCATTCTCAACTTTGAGTTTCAAAAATCATGATCACCGATCCACATCAACAACCAGAATGAGTGGGAATGGAAGAGTGAATCCATCTCTCACTCTGTCTCCTGATCCACATCAACAACCAAAAGGGATTGGTTTGAGGAGGGGGAAGAAAGACAGAGAGAGGAAGAAGAAGAGTGAAAACAAAGAGAGGAGGAAGACAAACTGAGAGAGTGAGAGAGAGACAAAGTGAGAGAGTAAGAAGGAGACAAAGTGAGAGAGTGAGAGAGTCAAAGGGGTTTCGATCATGGAGGAGAAGGGTAGTGGTTTCAGAAGAGGGAAACAAAGTGAGAGGGAGACAGACTAAGAGAATGAGAAGGAGACCGAGTGAGAGAGTCAGAGAGGGGTTTCGATCATGGAGGAGAATGGGGAGTGGTTTTAGAATAGAGAGACAGAGTGAGAGAATCAGAGGGAGACAGACTAAGAGAGTGAGAGAGGTTTCGATCATGAAGGAGAGAAGCGAGAGGGGTTTGAGGAGAGGAAGACAGAGTGAGAGGGAGAGGATGAGGGTGGATCATTCTAGATGTATGCGTGGACGATGATGCCTCAGTGTATAAGAGAGCTGCTGTGCTCTGTTTGGTTTTTTTTTTTTTTAAATATTAATTCTTTTTTAACAAACAGATAAGAAAATGTCAAACAAAAGACTATTCATTGGGGTGAATTAATTCTTTTTTTTAGTGGGATGAATTAATCAAACAAATTTTGGTTTTTTTTTTTTTTTTAAATATTAATTCTTTTTTAACAAACAGATAAGAAAATGTCAAACAAAAGACTATTCATTGGGGTGAATTAATTCTTTTTTTTAGTGGGATGAATTAATCAAACAAATTTTTTTTAGTGGGGTGAATTAATCAAACAAATTTTTTTTTCCAATTTTTCATTTTTTTTTAATTTTTTATATTTGTCTAGTTGGAAATAATATAAATATATTATTTTTTTAACAAACAGGTAAAAAAATGTTATAAAAGACAAAAAAATAAACAAAAATAAAATCACAAAAAAACCTATATCCAAACAATACCTATAAACTTGGAGAAAAAATTGATTGAGATTTACCAAAATAACAAATAACCATTGGAGCACCATTGTTATAATTTGATAAAATAATACTATTTATTGTCAAATTATAATAATGACAATAATATTATAACAATAATAATTGGAGATGCTCTAAAATGCTGCATTGAAGCATCAGTTTGGGGATCTCATCATCAGAGGATTTATTATACGCGGAAAGGACATATTCGTAATTCAGGACACACGTTGGCTTCGACAAAAAAAAAAAAAAGAAAGAAAGATGGAACACATACTAATGTTGACACATATTAGGTATCTTTTTCATAGTGTGAAGAAGTTTCCGCTTCTTCATGGGTTTGAATTCAAAGGTTTGTTCAATTGGTCCCAATTCCGTCGACGTAAAGCTACAGTGAGGAAAAAGGGTCTCTCTCTGTTTCACAGTCCGGTCTTTGGATTGAAAGTAATATTATGGTTGGTTGGAAGATTTAAAGAAAATTTAAAAATAGAAACAAAAAAAGTTATGTGAAATTAGATGAAATATATCTTATTTTCATTTCACCTATCTTTTTTCTTTTCTTTTCTAAATTCCTTCTCAAACCTTTTAACCAAATACAACATATACTTTCCCTGGCCACTGCTTTACCTGGTTCAAAATGCTTTGTCCTTATTCATCATGGTGTGAAAACCTGTGTTCATCCGCGTTTCTTATGCCCCCCTTCTCTCTCATATGTATATTTTCATTTTGACTTCACAATTTTAGAAAATAGCGAGTGTCAAAATCTTAAAAATAAAATAAAAGTTTAAATTTTTTTTGAAATAAAATCTCAACTAAATAATTTTTTTTATTAATTTGTAATATTCATGGGTTTATATTTTATTGGGAAAAATTACTACACAATATATATATATATATATATATATATATAGAAGCTAAAAGCACATATTTCTAACTTCTAAATAATCAATTTTTTCTAGCTTGTTTAAGTTATTTCTGCCTAATAAACTATAAGCAAAAATTACATTAAACAATCTTACACAGACTATCAAATTAAAATAAGTTATAATCACCTCCTAGAAGTTGCGACAAACAACCCCGTAGTTGGACCCAAAACAATATATGTGACACATAGAATGTGAAAAAAATTATTACATATTGTTATATTTAAGTAAGAGTTCTGATTAAGTAACATATGAAGGAAATTCGGTATATTCTCATACCCAGTCACAAATTTTTTATCAATAATATAATTTAAAAAAGAAAAAATTAGTCAAACATTTCTCTCTAACTATGGGTAGTAGGAGATGTCCAATATATTTGTTCTTATTAGTTAAGATCTCTCAATATTGTTATTAGAGAAATTTCAGCTTATCACAGAGAAATTTTAGTTTGTCACAATTTTTTTTGTGACGAATTGAAATTTCTCTACGTAAAAAAAGAATTTTAAGAGCTGAAAATTTCTATGTATGTGGAGAAATTTCTCTGTAAAAATGTTAATTAAGAGACTTCAACTATTATAAAAATATTATACGTTATTTATCTTATAAAACCTTAATATTAAGGAACTTAAATTAAAAATCCCTTAAAAAAATTAACTAAAAAAGTAAAGTAATAAATTACAATGACCCATTATACTAACTATAAATCTATATAACAAAATTCAAAGGTAAATTTTTATGGTATATAGCGTTTTAATTTTAGGCTTACATTCGGCCAAACAACACAAAACATAGCTACTAGCAATGATGGGACCGCTGGAAATAAAAAAAAAGTGAATAAAATACAGACAAAATACTATGTGAAACATGTTTGATGAACAGTGATTTTATAGGCCAATGACTTTGGACATTTATTGATATTGATGCGGCGCTATCATGGTGGGCACAACATGGCACGTGATGTTGCATTTCTAGAGAAGCCATTAATCATCAGCTCTTTTTCCCTGAAGCTACGTGGCAGTAACATGTTTAAAGACTACTACTGTTTAGTATTATTCTCATTAACTCGGAAGTCGAAATGGGCACAGTAGTCAAACCTGACCAAAGGGTCCCTGATTTGGAAATACGAGGCTTCTTGATGCAGCAATATTAAAACTCTGGTGTGTTACACGTTTTTTTGTTTTCAAATTCATGGCTTCGTATACATATATATAGTTGGAGGTTTTGAAATGTTGAGACCAGTCCAGGACTTCTTACTAGGTTCCACACACACAGTAAGAGAGAGCAAAAAACAAAGAAGAGAGAGATAGAGAGAAACAAGAGAGAGAGAGAGAGAGAGAGAGAGAGATGAGGACTCCTTGCTGTGACAAAAATGGACTGAAGAAGGGAACTTGGACTGCGGAGGAAGACAGGAAACTAAAAGCTTATATTACTAGATATGGTTGTTGGAACTGGCGCCAACTTCCCAAGTTTGCAGGTATTTTAAAACTATCTCCAAATTAATTCTTAATATTTTTGAAATAAATATTAAACGTAACAATAACATCATTTTATGTAGTGTGATTAGTTAATAAAACAACTCAAATTAAATTCAATAGAAACTATTTAATCAAGTAATCTTCACCACCACAACATAAAATCTTTAATTTTTTGATATCACCATTATAATCAATTGGTCCAAAATTCTATTCCATAGAATTTCTCTTCTCATATTATCCCTGTTCCTCTTAAAAAAGGAACAAAAATGCTCATATGGGTCTCTCTCTCTCTCTCTCACACACACACACAGGATCCTTCATCTGTCTCAAAACTTAAACCACATCTATTGCTCAAGAGCATTGCCCATTGCCCAGGCACAAACCGAGTTCAACCACATTGTTGGATTTGGTTCGCCTTTTGTACCAAATTTCAGTTTTCTTTCCCCAATATGTTGACATTCTCCCTCACCAAAACTTGTATATGATTTTATGTTCTTCTTTCTCTTCTTCTTCTCTGTTGATTGACTGGGGAAGCCAGATATATATGAATTACTACTTGTATATGTTATATCTGAATGAATCAGGATTATGTGTTTAGACTGTTGATTTCCCATGAATGCATTCTTACTAAATCGACTTGCTTTCCTTGTTAAAGGGTTATCAAGGTGTGGGAAGAGTTGTAGACTCCGATGGATGAACTATCTACGTCCAAACATCAAGAGGGGGAACTTCAGCAAAGAAGAAGAGGACTTAATCATCAACTTACACGAATCACTTGGGAATAGGTAGGCACTCTCTAAATGACATTTTAACTTCTTCAATCCTAAATTAGTACCCAAATGATGAATACCAGAAACCTTTCAAAAAAATTCCATACGCATTAGGAATTGAGTTTAAGAGCTCATATTACTTGTTCATTTGTTGCAGATGGTCTGCTATTGCTGCCCAATTACCAGGACGAACGGACAATGAGATTAAAAACCACTGGCACACCTACCTCAAGAAATGCACCAGACAACAAATCCCAATCTCACAAGCGCAAAAACCACGCTCTAATGATCGTTCCAAAAGCAAAAAGACTGGACAAAAAACATCAAAATTCAAGATTTCTTCTGTAAGCCCTTCGACTCACCAAATCTTCGAAAGCTCCCAATTCTCACCCCCACCCCCACCACCATTGTCAAGTGAATTATGCTCGTTGATGATCGACACTGCAACAGTGAACTCTCCAAGCTCAATTGCAGAGAATGATGTCTCTCCCTCCGAAATGTTTGCTGAAACTAATGCAAGTTTTTGGACAGATCCAATTTTCGTAGACAACTACGACAACACATACGATGTCCTGTCACCATTAGTTGTTGACACTGGATTTTTATCTCCACATACTCCGGTGATCGACGAAGAATTTCTGTGTTCCTATAACTTCTATGATGAATTTAACAATGTCTTGAACTGGTAATTTAAACCAATCACTATAAGGAGTGATTTATGATGAATTTTCTGTGTTCCTATATCATATCTGAATACACCAATCAAGGGTCACAAAGCTTTCATGTGGTGCTTTGTGACCCTTGTGTTCCTATATCATATGAATACACTAATCAAGATAATCTTTCATCTGAATAGTGTGTGATTCTTTATTCTAAGTGTAATTAAAGGGTCACAAAGCTTTCATGATTATTTTCATGATAAGTTTTTCATAATAGCTAACATTGGTGTTTTCCTTATCATGCTTCTACTTGGTGGTCTTCTTAGCATTATTCTATGCAATGCCATGGTTTCACTTTCTACTTGTAGTAGGTGGCCTTTTGAGCAATTTTCAACAAGTTGGGGTTGTACATTTATTTACAGTAAAAGATTAATTCTAGCAACCCAAACTTCATTTCTAGATTTGTGTCAAGGATGAGTGTGTTTGATGGAAATTGAAAATATGTAGAATGAATCTAGACCATCTATTAATGTTCTGGGTAATTTTTTGGATTAGTTGTATTATTAATACTAAAATGAATGAAATTATTTAATAAAATTTTGTTACACAATTCCGTGCCCCTCAAGTCCCTAAAAATGAGATATCGCCAATCAATAGTAAGGATCTAAATAATTAATCACATGATCCTAAAATTATGAGTAAACTGTGCATAGTCTTCCTACCCATGTAATAATTTCTACTAAAATTGGTAAATTTTTTGTTCCAAGCATCTATGGCATTAAAATCGATTTATTTTGTTTTATTTTTGAATTTCATAAAATAGGGGAAGGGCCAGTCCAACCATTGGGGAATAGGCAGTTCGGCCTACATCACCTACGGCCGATCCAGTTTTATTTTTGAATTTCATCCTGGCCCAAATTTCAAACCTAAAGTCCAAAACTAATTTGAAGAGGCCTATACTATTTAAGGGGTCCAATATGATTTATAATATTGGGTTGGCCCAAAGTTCATTTGGTTCTTTGACTTTGGGCATTTGCGGTTAATTCCCAAAATATTGAGCTCCGATAGCAGGAACATTCGTTGTTTTTTCGGTAAATTCACTTTCCACTCCATGACATTTATCTGTATTTATTTCTTTACATTTTAATTGTTCTAATTAATCTCTTATACTTCGAGTCAATTTACAATTGAATTCATTTTTTATAACAATATTTCAAAATTAGCAAATAATAATCACATATTAGAAAAATAAATAAAAATCACATTCAATATGCAAAACAAGAAAATATTTTTTCTTAGAAAATCATTGCATTTGGGCAGCAATTATCCTTTTTTTGGTGAGTGCCATTTTAAGAGTGCTTAAATCCGTACGACCAGACACCTTTAGCATTTATCATTTTTCGATTATCAGCCTGCTATTTTCATTAATTATTGTTACGAGTTGGAAATGAAGATTTGAAGATAAATTTTAAGATTTCGAGTTCAAGTTAATCGTTAAAGACCATTTTAAGGTCTCAGGATTAGTTGGGATAAGCATAAGTTAGTTGGAACATTCAATTATCAAAAAAAAAAAAAAAAAAAAAAGGGGAAAAAAAAAAGCAAAAAAAAAAAAAGAAGGCTAATGATTAGAAGCATGACCCGACTTATAGTGGAAGCACTTTCTATCTGATGGCTATGAATTAACTATTTGTGTACTTTCTTTGTAAAAATGAAATGACATTCGTTGCAAATCTTTGTGTCTGTTTGGTTTAATTTTTTGAAAATTATTTTTAGATGAATTAATTTTTTTTTATTAAATTGTTTTTGATACTTTAATAAAAAATTTTGGGTACTTTTCCATGCACCTAATTAATATGCGTCTAAAAAATAAAATAAATTGACTAAAAATATTTTAAAAATTACTAAAAACAAGAAAATTTAAACAAAAATCTATGTACTTTCTGTTCGGTTTTCGTTTGTTTTTAGTAATTTTCTTTTTTCCTATTTTAGTTAAACTCTTTTATTTTTTTAGATGGATCTTGATGTATCTAAAAAGTAAAAAAAAAAAAAAAAAAATGATTAAAGTATGAAAAAGCTCAATAAAAACAAACAAAAAACCATGTAAAAATATTTTGGAAAATGATTTTTCCCCCGAATCCCCCCTTTCCCGAATCTCTCGACTGCCCAAAACGACGTCGTTTTGGGCAATTTTTTTTTTTTTTTCTTCTCCATATTTAGTCTAATTGAAACAGAGGGAGAGAAAGAGAAAGAGGGAGAGAAAAGAGAAGAAAAGAGTGTAAGAGAAAGAGCTCGAATCCTCCTTATGCCACCGTTCGATGGTGGTGATGGCGATGGCGGGGCGACGGTGGTGCCACGGTGATGGCGGGTAGGGTGCAACTCTTTTTTTTTTTGTTTTTTTGGCTTTGAAGATGGAGATGATGTGTTGATGATGGTGATGTTGATGAAGATGTTGTTGTTGTTGATGATGATGTGTTGAAGATGGAGATGATTTGTTGTTGTTGATTTTCTTTTTTTTTTCCTTAGTAGATTCAGATCTAGGTTTGATTTTTGGGTGGGTGGGTTCGATTTTGATTTTGATTTCAGTTTTGTGATGGGTTTCAATTTTGTGTTCAATTTTGTGGTTGAAGGAAAATGGGTTTGATTTCAGATTTTCTTCTTCTTCTCTCCTGTCCTCTTCTTCTTCTTCTTCTTCTTCAGACTCTTCTTCTTCTTTAGACAAACGGGAAGGAAGAAGGAAAAAAGGGGGAAAAAAAAAAACCCCAAAACGACATTGTTTTGGGGTTTCGGGGGATTCGAGCTCTCAGTGATTCGAGCTACGTAGCGGAGTTGCAAAAACGGCGTTGTTTTGGGATTTTTTTTTTCTTTTTTCCTTCTTCCTTCCCGTTTGTCTAAAGAAGAAGAAGAAGAGTCTGAAGAAGAAGAAGAAGAAGAAGAAGAGGAGAGGAGAGAAGAAGAAGAATAAAATCTGAAATCAAACCCACTTTCCTTCAACCACAAAATTGAAACCCGTCACAAAACTGAAATTAAAATCAAAATCGAACCCACCCACTAAAAAATCAAACCCACATCTGAATCTATTAGGCAAAAAAAAAAGAAAATCAACAACAACAAATCATCTCCATCTCCAACACATCATCATTAACAACAACAACATCTTCATCAACATCACCATCATCAACACATCATTTCCATCTTCAGAGCCAGAAAAAAAAAAGAGAAAACAGAGTCGCACCCTACCTGCCATCACCGTGGCACCACCGTCACCCTGCCATCGCCATCGCCATCGCCATCGCCGTCGCACCACCATCGCCATCGCCATCGCCATCGTCATCACCATCACCGCCATCGAACGGTGGCATAACGAGGATTCGAGCTCTTTCTCTTCCCCTCTCTTCTTCTCTCTTCTCTCCTCTCTCCCTCTTTCTCTTTCTCTTTCTCTCCCTCTGTTTTAGTTAGACTGAATAAGAAGAAAAAAAAAAAAAAAAAGAAACTGCCCAAAACGACGTCGTTTTGGGTAGTCGGGGAATTTGGGAAAGGGGGGATTCAGGGGGAAAATCATTTTCCTATTTTTTGAAAACTATTTTTTTGTTAACAAAATTCCAAACAAAAAGAAAAGTCATCTTTCAAATAAAGACAGAAACGCGTTTGATAAAAATACAGAATTAAACTATCATAGGATGGAAAAAAAAATTGCAGAGGACTCTGCACCTGTACTAGATCGTCCGGAAAATATAAATAAATAAATAAATAAAAAAAAGAAACACCACTTACAAGGAAAGGAATATTCTTTCTTAAAAAAAATAAATAAATACAAGAAAGTAATATTTAATCCGATTTTATTATCATCTCTGCAAACAAACACGCACATTCAGTCAGTCAGATGTGTTATCTAAGTTTACTATTTTCTACATTTCAAAGCATACAATATTTGACTTCATGCTAGGATTTATCGAATAGTACAAACAAACGTGAGAGAATTATCGATGGAAAAAATTTCGAACGACATATGATAGGGAAAGTTATTATACTAATATTCAATCATTTACCAATGTAACGTAGGGGTAGCACTGCTGACTAATAAGACTCCACAAAAATATATTAATGGTTGATCTAACTCACATGAACTCTATTTATATTATTACTAATATTTAGGATGGCAAACAAATTTAGTCAAATCAAAGTTTTTGAGTATTCATTGTTTGCTAAATTTAAGGCTTCGTTTGTGAATAGACTTTTTTAGTAATTTTTTTATTTTTTGGCTAAAATGTGATGTAAAAAAAATTAGTATGTTTGTGATGACTTTTTACAAAAAGAAGTGCAAAAAATAAAGAGAAAATAGAATTTTTGACTTTTTAATATGGATTGTTGACTTTTAATTTTTTTAATGATTTTTTGACTTTTTGACTAAAAAAATCACTTACCCAAACGAGGCCTAAATCAAGTTACAAGTAGGCTTAAATAATTGAGCTCGATGTCAGCTCTTTAAATATTTTAGAATCTCGAGTTTAGTTTAAGCCAACTTAATTATGTAAAAAGTAATGTTATACAAACAAAAAATTCATAAATAATGATGTAGCTAATTGAGAACCTTTTATTTCAAAACAAAATACCGTTGAGATTGATTTATTTACAATAATGACATTGTCACATCATTTTTATCAAGTTTTTTGTATGAATTTAATGTATATTTAGAATTTTCCTCACGTAAATAAGTCGAGCTCGAACTCAAAAAAATAAAAATTGAACCTAAATAAATTTACTTATTAAGATAAAAATAAAAATTTTTGAGTAAAATATATACAAGAATACTTATATAAATAATAAATTTCATTAATCAAATATGTAAATTTACATATATACTAACACAAATAAAAAATAAAATAAAATAAATTAATAAAAATTTATTAGATATATTATTAAAAATAATAATAATTATTATTTTTATATTCACGAGCCTTATCAAATAAAGTTTACAGATACTCGAACTTGTTTATTTAGTAAACAAATTGAACTCAAATGAGTTTTAAACGGGCAGAACTTGAACGGTTCATTTGTAGTCCTATTATTGTTACTATTCCAAAAGTACTTATAATTAACTAATACGACCCATATACTTTTGTACATCTATTTATTTCAAAGTTTGTATTTCTAAAACAACACAATGTTCATAGTTAAACATATCTATTCTTTTTAATTAGATTAATTATACTGGTTTCAATTACAGCACATTCAACTTTGAATTTTAATTGATTTATAATTAATCTTGTCACTAATTACTTTAAGATTGTGGTTGGGTCATACATTTTTATAGAGATTGGTGGACGGAAAGAAATAGAAAGGGAATGACAAAAATTCAAGCTAAATTATTGTCATTTTCTCTTTTCTTATGTCATTTTCTTCTATCAACTCTACATAAATTTATAATTCAAACACAACATGTGATCTAACATAGCAATTGGCAAGTCTAGAGC